AGTATCCATCAAAATCATTGTTCTTGCACAGTTTTTCCTATTTAATGACCATCACTAAACGTTAGCAGTACCCCCATTAGCACATAACTAACAATAAAGAGCGGTTTCTGTTATTAATCTGGTGACTTTCACTTGCTGTGTTATTTTTGTTAATTTGTTTAAATTCTCTAATAACATACAGCATATGTATTAGCCTCCAGGTTTGAATCCCTAGTGACTACAGTGGGTGTTTCAGCTGCTCATTATTTTGATTGTTGTTGACTTGTCACATATATATTTGCATGCATTTTCAATCCGTTGTGTTGTCTTGTGTTCAGACCTACAGAGAGCTGCTCCGCCTCTCAGAGGGAGTAGGATTCAGAGTTCACATAATAGACAAAGCCTCTCTGGCAGCCAAGAAATATGGACCACAGTCAAACAAAAAATACGGTAAGAAATGGAAAACGTTTCCACAGACAAATTCAAATGTGATTCCCCTCCCCTCACTGTTTATCTCCTACACTTCTGTGCAGATATACTTGTCAGTACTCCAAACAGACTGGTCTTCCTTCTCAATCAGGATCCTCCGGCCCTCGACCTCAGCAGGTAAGAACATGTGTTGCTCTCTGGAGAGGTTTTTTTCTCATGAAGGTGCCCCACGAAGATGTCTTTTTAAATCAGCATAAATTGTGTTCTCACTAATGCTCATGTGAATCCTTGAGATCTAACACACCTGTAGTTTGCATTTGATTACTTAGACAGGGTTCGTACGGTCATTAAAAACCTTGAAAAGTCATGGGAATTCAAAATGCTAATTCCAGGCCCTGGAAAAGTTATGGAAAACAATATTTTTCCCAAAGTTTTGGAAAAGTCATGGAAATGTAACTAAAGTTGCATCAAATAAAATGTATATTTTATCTAATCGCCGAAATAGTAATACTATAATGATAATAAATACTGTATCCTATAGCAATGAAACGTAAAATGGCAACTGTCGCAGTATTTCGCTGGTGAGAGATGTTTACAATCACGTACCAATTGTGGTTAAGCCCAAGACGTGCTAAATGCAAACTGTGTTGTAAAATATTCGATATTTCAAATATGGGCGAGGCAGCGCTTCCTAGCCACATGAAAGAAAGGATCATGGTCATGGAAAAGTCATTGAAAATCATTGTTGAAAAAGTGTATGAACCCTGCTTAGAGATCAACTACTTTATCGTATCTATTGTTAACATCCATGTTTACTAGCTTGTGGTCTTCGGCCCACAGATAAACAAAGAGGCTGCCACCCGTCGATCAGTGGAATAGTGTGAACTCGTTTGCAGTGATGTATGTGTCACCACCCAAAAATAAAATGTCCAATGAAAACGACCAAGTATATATATTTTTAATTACAATTACCATTACAAAGACAGTTCCTGTTTCTGCAGGAGCTAAAAGAATCAACAAGGCCAGGGATGCGGCTCCAGTTGTCTCCATGTATAAACTGTGGTTAACGAACTCTCAGTTTGTAAGAAGATCTGTTTTTAAATTGTCATCTTGTTTCTTGTCTTCATCTCCACTGCTAACCAACAAATACATGAACTTTTAATACCACAAAACATCCTGGTTGATTGTTGTGTTTTGTGAATGTTCAGTGTGGAGTGGCTGATCGTGGATGAGTCCGATAAGCTGTTTGAGGGCGGTAAGACGGGTTTCAGGGAGCAGCTGGCCGCAGTCTTTCTGGCCTGTTCTGGTTCCAAGGTGCGCCGGGCTTTCTTCAGTGCCACCTGCACGCCGGATGTAGAGCAGTGGTGCCGTCTGAACCTCGACAACCTGGTCTCTGTCAACATTGGACACAGGTAAGAATCCACAAGTAGAACTTTTTTACTTTAAACGTTTATATTTAAAAAGAAATCACATTTAGATAATCCATTGTTCCAGAAATACGGCGGTGGAGTCGGTGGAACAGAAGCTGCTGTTTGTTGGGACAGAGAACGGAAAACTGGTGGCCATGAGGAATATCATCACAAAGGTACAGACACTCCAGAGAGGGTACTTTTAAACATTGAAAGTAATCTAGTGGGTTTTATTTACTGAATCAATTAAAGCTTTTTTCTCTACAACTGAAGTTTAAATGTCCTCCTTGCCATTTTAGGGTTTCCTGCCTCCCATGCTGGTGTTCGTGCAGTCGATCGATCGAGCACGGGAGCTTTTCCATGAGTTGGTGTATGAAGGTATCAACGTGGACGTGATCCACGCAGACCGCACACAGCAGCAGGTACACTCAGACACTCAATCCACTGTGTCATGGGTCCGCTCTGTGCCACTGTATTTACCCTCTCTGTGGCCTTCCTGTTTCAGAGGGACAACGTAGTGGACAGTTTCCGGTCCGGTAAGATTTGGGTGTTGATCTGCACGGCTCTGCTCGCCAGAGGAATGGATTTCAAAGGAGTCAACCTCGTGCTGAACTACGACTTCCCCACCAGCTCTGTGGAGTACATCCACAGGATTGGTTAGTTATTCATTATAAATAATTCAAAGTAATATCATCTAGTATTGGATTCAAACCATATACTGATAACTTTGTATATAAAACATTAAACTGTGACTATTGTTATGGTGATTACCGTAATTTCCGGACTATAAGGCGCACCTGAATATAAGCCGCAGCAGCTAAATTGAATGATGTGTACATATATAAGCCGCACTGGACTATAAGCCGCAGGTGTTTTAATGTTTAATTACCATATGTAAGGGTTCGTGCACAGAGGGGATTGTCGGGAAAGAGATGGCTGTTTGAGGAAGCTCCCATTTATTAACATTTCAACAAACAAGTTGCATATTTGCATAACGTATTCAAGTGTTACCATTTAGTGCAATAGTAGCTACAGAACATGTGCTGTGTAAACTGTACTGTATCACATAGCGTTTCAGACACACAAACTTTTCAACTTTCAAACTTAAACGGTGTGCTCCCAGCGCACGTACCGGCAGTGATCTACAGCAGTGGTTTTCAACCAGTGGTACGGGGACAAACTGTCTCGCTCTCGTAATGTCTGTCTGTCTTGCTCTCGTTCTGTCTCTCGTACCACTCTCGGTTCCACTTTTACTTTTGCGCGCTACCTGTCTCACTCTTTTCCGGC